GTCGCTAAATACATTTTGGACCGAGTTGCGAAGAGTTATTATTAGAACCTTGGGGGAGAAAATGAAAAATGCAAGGATTTTGTAAAATATTTTTTTCTGCTGCATAACAGACCAATGTTATGGCAAGGCCATGTTACGCTCCAACTTGCAGACATTATGCTACTGAATCATACTGAATACTGACAAAATGTCATGTATTTGCTGTGCATTCAGGCGTTTTACACATAAACTGCAACGTCACTCGTATGTTATGAAGCTGTGTCAAAAAGACCATATTATCTAACATCGTTTTTTTTTACTTCTGTGCCGTTTCTAGGTTTTGTTTTCTATCTGACAACCTGAGAAAATTTCCTGACTGCACTGCAACTACATGGCTTTTGTCAATATTTAGAACGAATTTGTATGGAAAGTTCTTCATAACTTAGCTTTGCCATAACATTGGTCTCTTATGCAGCAGAATCGGTCCCTTAGTCTAAAAACTGCTAATTAAATTCTTTAATATTATGAAAGCAAGTCTAATGCAATGCAAGAATGTACTGAGAAATATATAGCAACTAAATATATAGCAAATATAGATAGCAACATGTTTCAGAAATGCCGTCCAACAAGACGCTCAAGAATTTGTTACACAACATATTTTAAGATTATCGTATTATTTAAAAATTAAAAACTACTGAAGAACTAAATATTAGAAAAAGTCGAAACAATCAATGTCGTTTCTAGAGGACACTCATACACACAGGTCATTAAGCGGATGTCTCTTATAGCAAATCTTACATTATTCATAAGTGCTTATATTTTTGCAAGATTAATTTTTGCAGATTCAAAATTTTTGTATCGTTGACTTCCAAGATTTTTTACTAACTTTTTATGTGTATCTTGTTGGAAAATGTATTCAAACGTTTTGGTCGAATGTATTCAAACTAAACAAAAAAGTAAACTAGTGGGGTGGGTGGCATCGTGCCTTAAGGCAAATTGCTGGAACTTCCCGTACCGTAACGAAATGTTCGAGGAATATTGAATGTTTTCAAATAGATTATTATAAATATTGTAACATTGTCTAATATTTATAAGAATTATATAAACTGAATTGCAGAGAAATTATTTGTTTAAAGTATATTAGAACTATAGTCAGAATTAAAAATATAATCTGAATTATTTTCGATATACAAAAAATAAAAAAAAAAAAAATGGTACAATTTTTTTTTTTCCAAAATCAATTATTTTGTTAAGACAAGCAGAAAGTTCTTTGAATCAATTGAATCGGACGCTTAGTTCTCTCAAAAACTGCCATTTTTTGTACATTTAGCTCTGTATCTCCGAAATGGCTGGGCCTGCCTTTGCGAAAAACTAATAACCCCTTCTCCCAATCATTACTAATTGAATGTTTTTGACATCATTCAAATCGGATGCTCCGTTCTCTCAAAAACTCGATTTCTATTTTCTGCACTCTTTGCTCCTTATCTCCGTAACTGCTGGACCTGTCTTTGCCAAAAACTAATCAGCTCTTCTCCTTATTAATAGGAATCTAATGTTTTTTAAACCATTCAAATCGGTTGATCCGTGCGCCCGAAAACGTGGACGAAAATTTGTATCCATACATACATACACACACACACACACACACACACACATCCATTTTTTCTGAGGTATGCCAAAACGTTCAGAAACCTTCAAAACGTCGAGAAATGTAAAAATTTTCAATTCCGATTTTCGGCCCATTACAATAACTTACCCTACGGGAAGTTAAAAATATGAAATAAAATTTTGGGTATGAAAATTTAATAGTATTTTTCTTGGACCGTTGGAATATTTTCAGAAAGCCAGTAAATGACTTCTCAAATTTCCAATTTTAACTCTTTTATCATTCAAAAATAAATTAAATATAAGCATAATTGCTGCAAATATTAAAGTACTTTATACTGTTACCTAATATGATAATTAATGAAATTTAATGAAATTTGTTATTCATACCTTTATTTGAGCCACCAAATTAAATTTTATTTAGTTAAATCTAGTTCAAATAATATGTTGTACTGCTATAATATAAAATATGCTATCTACTTTACTGCTACCTTTACCATCATATTATACATTAGTCAAATATGCAAGTGATTTTTATAATAGCTGTTTTGTGCCAATTTCGATAAACTCTCAATATTTTTATTTTGATCTAATCTATCCGTGTCGATCGTTTTAATTCATTTTCGAGCAATGGTAATCTGCAAAACGACAACGCACAAGCTTTTGCTTTATCAACTCGCTGGGAAACAAAAAGGGATAAAAACTTTGGTATCTACATCGACTTTTCGGATTCATCAAAACGTCCCGAAAGTTTTCGCCTCGTTTATAATGATTAGGTTTTTGCTGCGCGGATGTTGGAGCGTTTATTCGTGCTTCGAACATCATTTCCTGATTAACGGAGCTCTATCCGGTGCCAGATATCTGACTAACTAGCACGCTCTCAACGGCCACTATTCGCCTAATGAGTACTATCTAATGACCTGCGAGCTCAACTTTGATTCCGGTCAGTTGGACTTGCCTTTTTTACTAGGCTCAGGAATGGTCCACCGATTCGAACGAATCAGCGATGAAGATATTAATGAAGGATAACTGATCCTTTTCCACTATGACTTTATTTCGAATAACGAATCAAAGCTGGTTACGATATAATAATTAGCTGTTGGATGCGGTGATTGGCATTCCTGTTGTTCATCAATTTGAAGTTTATCACTATTGGCAATTTTATTTCATTTTAAAGTACAGAAAAGTGACTTATTTTTATGATAGTGATGCAAAAGTAATTTTGTATAAATTATTATAAGATTTTTTATATCACACAAATTTTTGGCAGCATTTTTTCAGTTATTTTGACACAATAGAATGCATAGAATAACAATGCATAGATTAACAATAATATTTTTTCAATTGTTATGTTAATGTAATCAAATATTGAATATTTTCGTTCACAAAACAAAATTCATACAGCGTAGTTTTATATTAATAATAACAGCAATTAATTTTACAATTTATATTGTACCAATTTCTCATGTTTAATGTGGGAATGATTAATCTTAAAATTAATTGACTAATTTATTTTCAATAATCAACTAACAAAGAGAACCTCAGGTTCACTCTTCTAGTATTTTGATGAAACTTTGCATGATGATAGAGAAACCGAACAATTTAAAATACTATAGGCCTATGAAAAGTGGTTCAATTCTGAAAATTAATTAAGTTTGTGGAAAATAGACGAAACGCAATGCGTAACTCTACAGTGTTCCGTATCAATATGTCTCGGTTAGTTTAGGCACTGCTCCTACTTTTTGCTCTCGGATTCATAGATAACAATTATTGGGTTAAAATCCCGTCAGCGTATATTAAGTATTGATTTAAAAATAAAATATAAACTTATTGGTAATAGTTATGTCTCGAATATTTCAAATAGTTTAACTGCATAAAATACAGCAATTCTGTACATTATTATAAATTTACACAGAGAGTATAAGGTAAGATGAACAAAAAGAAAAATACTGCGCTCTGAAGTCAATAAATATTGTCGTTTTATTTATGTATCACAATGATTCTAATCTGCAATGATCATTAGGGGCGGCTTCTGCCGTGAAAAAAATCAATGTTGTGACAAGACTGTTACGTAGCAGTTTTCATACAAAATGGTACTAAATGCTGTCACAATCTCATGTATTTACAGTGCGATTGGGCGTTTTACATATACAATGCAATTTCACTCGTATGTTTTTAAAGCACATTACAAAGTTTATGTATCATAATGATTCTAACTTGCAACTATCATTAGGGGCCGATTTTGCATTAATAGACCACAAAATGGTCCTAAGTACTGTTCAAATGGCAGGTATTTGCTGTGCTATGCGGCGTTTTATACTTAAAATGCAATTTAACTCATATGGTTTTAAGGCACATCACAAAAATGCAGTTCTGATAACATCGTTTTTTGACATTTGTGTTTTCTAGGTTAGGTTTTTTATCTAATCTGACTGCGCAGCTACCACATGGCTTTTAGCAGATTTTAGTACCATTTTCTATGAAAACTGCTGCATAACATAGCCTTGCTATAACATTGGTCTATGTTACGGCAGAATGGCGAAATGGCGAGCATAGCTCACTTGGTAGCGTGTTCGATTCACACGACAGGGTTCTTCGGATCAAATCCTGTCATTGACTTAGAATATAGGAAAAAAATATGTATAGTTAATTTAAAATCAAATAAAAATTGTATTGTTAAGTAGAATTTGAATAAAAATTAAGAAAAATAGAAATAACAGAGTTCGAATAGCTTAATTGTATTAGAAGTAAGAAGAGAAATATTGGAACTGAGCTGAAATTAAAAGAAGAATGAAGAAATAAATGGAATGAAGCTAAAAGTTGAATAAGAATAAAAATTTGAAAAAAGAGCAAGAATTGAAGCAAAATAAGAAGAATATAGAATAGAATATATATAAAAATTGAAAATGGTATAAAAATTAGAATGTAAATTAATAAAAATGTTGCAGGTGGCTAAATGCTTAGAGTGAACGAGGCCAAATAAAATTTGAAGAAAAACAAAAAAAAGAAAGATTTATGTTGTTATAAATTATATCAGAAAAATATTCAATAAAATGCTTTTGGCAGAATTTAGTACCATTTTGTATGAAAACTGCTGCATAGCATAGTCTTGCTATAACATTGGTCTATGTTACGGCAGAATCAATTCCTTGATTTTTTTAAGTTTTCTAAATGTCTTCACATTAAAACTTATAGCAATAGACTCGAAATGTTTGTATATATAATTTCTTATGTCTGATATAGTCTGTCATTCTGTGGCTTAAAATCATTGACTACGTTTTCTCAAAAATAATATATAAGAAACTAAAAAATGAGACGTTTCTCATATATGTATAAATGAAATATATATAGAGATTCAAAATCATAATCATTTCATTTCTCAATCCTCTTATTTCACGATTCTTTTCCTCCCCCAGGACGGCTCTCGTGGGTACCTCGAAGGTCTTGCCGGCTGCTACGCCGACCTGCTCTCGGCACGTTATTCCGACGTGCTTTTGGCGCTCGAAGAGTTACGGCGCGTCGAGGTCGCCAGCACGGGGCACACGCTCGACCCTGTCTACAGGACGAGTCCTCCCGCGAGTCCGAGCTCACCGCCCGGCTCTCAACGAAGGCCCGGAAGCTCAGCAGCCGGAGGCTCTCTCACCACATCGCATTCGCAGCCGATCTACGTTCCCGGGAAATATTCGGTGAGTTACTGATTCAGAATTGTTACGTTTGCTGTTGTGTTCTGTTGTCTGCTTGCAAGTATTATTTTGTGGAAGTTAAAGTAAAATTCATTGTGTATTCTGTTTCGTGTAATCTTTATTTGTAATGTATTTTTCTAGTTTTGTTTAGTATTTAGTCAACAACTCACGTCGTTCAACATTGATATCTAAGCATAATATTGATTCAGAAAGTTGTCAATTAAATATAAAAATGTTCTTGAAAAAATTTAGGGCAGCTAGGGGCTGGTTGTAACAGATTTTTTAAACAAATATATCTTGAAATCAAGATCATTGTTTATATTTCTACAAAATAAAGATGCATAGTTGCTCTAACTATTGCTTTACCATATGAAGTCAAAAAGTTGCTCATCACTGTTGCTCATTATTTCACAATTAATCATTTTCTAGAAGTGCGGTGTTTCAACTTACCTTAGCTAGTTGTAGCATTTATCAATACAAGTAGTAACAATAAAAAAGCGACAACTAGTTGGTTTGGTATTTAGCCTTGAAGCGAGTTACATGAACTTCCCGATATTACCGATATGTTTAAATAATCTACTTAATCAATAAAAAATAAATCAATTTATAAGTGATTAAAAGTATTCCGAGTGGATATTTTACCCATTATTAAAAACAAATGAACATGTTAACTCGGATTATTTTCTAAATGCAAATTTTCAAAAATCAACAATTTGTATATTTGAGCCAGTTTCCGCAGGACTTTAATGTTTTAGTATGTTGATTAAGACCAAGTACTATCTACTTGTTATACCAAGTAGATCATCTAATTTTAATTTTAACAAACATCAAAAAACTACTGATTTTCTCAAATTTTGGACGAAATTTTTTTTACTTTTCTGCGACTTACAAAGAAACGGCTCGGCCGATCGTCGTACAAAAGTTAGAAATGCTAGTCCTCATCGAGATACATAGAATGGCTTTTAAATTTTCGAAATCGGTCCAGCCGTTTTTGAGAAAACGTCGATTTACGGCAAAAAATCTGTTCACACACACACACACACACACACATACACATACTTTTTCCAAATTTGGTCTCATTCGATTCAGAATGGCATGAAACGTCGAGAAAACATAAAATTAGCAATTCGGATTTTTTTATGAAAACATAAACTTCTCCTTCGGGAAGTTAATAATGTTTCGGATAATTTATTCTTTATTTAATTTTAAGAAAATTTACTTATTTCTAACTCTATTTTAAAGCAATATTTTTAAGTGATACTTCATAATTCTATGCAAACTTTAATAATACAAATAAAATATATAATTACTCCTATTATATAAATTTTCATCATAAATCAACGTCAACTACAATTATTATCTTAAGGCAAACAAAGGATAGTGTCACTTATAACACAATTTACATCTGCCCACATATTACAAACTATAAATTCCAATATTTTTGTTACTTGAAATTGTATATAATTCAAGCATGGTACAACTGACCCCATGATTTTTGTTTAAACTAAGCCCAGATGTAATTTTTTTATATCTAGATAACTACTTAAACAATTTAGCAATCACAACAATTGTTGCACAATCTCAACAACTGATAAATTTATGACAAAATAAGATATATAAAATTTAGTTGATAATAATGCAAACCGAAATTTTATGATAGTACAATTTTATATTACCTGTTACCCCCGTTACATCTAGCCCATAGCTCGCCTAATGAAATTTGCAGTTTGCGATATAAAACAAAGATTTTATTGCTTACAGTAAAAAGTATTAAATCAATACACAATATGTAATATTTTTGCTTCTCTTTAATGAAGTACTTACTTACTATTGTCATAAACTTTAAAATTTAATAATATTCTTATGATATGATAACTTTACTATGTACCTCTCGAACATTTTTTGTAATCTTTAAGTAAAAGTTTATTTCCAACTTACCTATCGCTACTTTATTTCTTATTTTCAATTTTCAAACCTCTTTAAACTTGCTTTCTTTAAATTACCTTTAACCGATATCTGGTGCAGAAGACAAGCTAAATCCCACTTCTGACCAATAATAAAAGTTTCAGTGTTTGCGGCGTACATTGCACGATCGATTACTTGTATGATTCTCTATAAAATAGATCTTACGGCGGACTTTATAAGATTGGAAAGTATCTCACGTACATTATATATAGGTCTAGCAATAAGAGCTTGTGGAACGCCTTAAAGCAATTTTGCCCCGGCAATAAGATCTATGCCTCCGGCGGTGTATTACTGGCACGAAGTGCGGTAAATCTAAAATTTTCCTTCTGAAATTACTTACTATTTTTAGAAGTTTAACAATCTTACAGTGTTACACCTTGAGAATGAAATAGATTGAAAAAATGAAACTGTCGTACATTCTTATTGAAGGAATTTTTATTTTGAGTTATTTCAGTATTTCGACTACTGGTTGGAAGTTAGATACAAGAAATTAAATTTACTATATGTGTTTGAGTAAGTTACTGCGAGCGGTACAAATCAGATTTTTTTTTGAATTTTGTACTTTGGTATTACTTCTTAAAATATTGACTCGATTCTGGAATTGATAAAAACAGTATTCGAGATGTAGTTACCTTCTTTTTATTAAATGTTGCTCAATTCATTTAATTATTGTATGGCTTGTGAAATATCTGTAATTCGCCAATAAAAGCTCAATACCTAACACTACTGGCGCAATTCTCGAGTTACATCGCGCTTGAAGCGAATAGCATCCTCGTACAAGAAACTTGATCATTTTGAACTTTTGACGGAGCTCCTGATTAATTGATTGCCGCGCTGATAATCGTGAAACAGTAATGAGATAACTAGTTTTCGAAACTCGAAATGCGGTCGTGTGCACAAAACTTGAAATGTTTCAGTACTTTTAGTTTTGCGTTCTTACGACGCCGCCTCATGTACGAGTAGATCTTCCATTCAGGCGGCAGAGACGCGCGTCTTTAGTTCAGCAACTAACTGATTGCTTTTGTGAGGAAACGCAACCGAGAGACGTGATTTCATTCAATGCGAGATGGGTTCCAGGGAAATTGATCATAGTTTCATCAAAGTTGCCAGTTTGGATTATTGTAAATTAGGTTATGAAGTTATTAAATGAAATAATTTAACGCTCTAAAGCCACCATTGAGATATTTTGTTGATGATAAAAGGAGAAATGAAAAAGAATGTACAGAATTAAACTAATTATGATAATGGCTTGACTTTCCTTAAAATATTATATTTATATATTATTAACAACAATCAAAACCTAATAGGCCTATGAGCTTGTGATGATTTTGTTATAACATGGCTTTAGATAGCAACCTAATTGTTGGTTTTGGTGAATTAGTTACCAAAATAACTCTTTGCTTATGGCTTTTTATTGGAAACATATTTCTATTTATATTTTTAAGTCAAAATCGATGTCACTACTGCTTGGCATCAGGAACTTTTGACTGGAAGCTCATAGCTCTAACCATTTCCATCACAGCCACAGGGGAGCTCTTCTCTTAACATATGATTATTTATTTTATTTTGTACGAAATCAAAAACTTATAAATGGTATATAAAAATACTTTTGTTTTTACTCAAATATGCTGGAAAAAACTTTTAAATCTTATCTTATTCTTCAGTAACGGTATCCTTACAAATTTTCATAAAAAAATGTGACTCCTTGATGACTGCCTAACTTATTAGTAACAATTATAAAAAATATAAGTACTATTTAACCAGGTTAATTGTGTTTGACGAATATAATCGTCATGGAAAAGTTGCAGAATTTTGTGTATCGACGAGCGCACTTGTCATACATATAATAAATCTGGCCATAGGCAATTTAGATTGCAATTTTTGAAAAATGAAATAAGTATTTTCAAATTGCAAGATATTTAGAATATTTTGAGGCTATATTGGTATAAAATAATTAGTTTAATGAGGCATTTTTCAAAAACAACATTTTACCTTGATTCTGACGACACAAACTGTGCGCCCAGTTTGATGGTTATTTTTAGCAATTAGATTCATTCAAAATATTTTTGTAAGGAATATATGCTATTAAAATATAAACTAGTTTTTCATTGTTTTGAACAGCAATCAGAACTTTTGAGTCTATAAGCTGTTGGGCTAATTTGACTTGATACTACGTCGGTTTTACCTATGGCAAACCAAATAGTTTTCTCATCTCTATGTGATAATTTTTATTATTACAATTTCTGTACTAGGGCAAATGATTTATTGGTGCAGCAATGTTAGATGAGCGCTATTTTTATTTAGAGATATATTGCTATCCGTATTTTCAAGTGAAAATGGATGTACCTACGACTTGACACCAGGCTCTTCGAAGTAGTATCGAAACCAGGATCTCTGTTTCCCATGTAGTCGTACAAAAATATTTTTATTCACTTCAGTTCACTTCAGTGAGGTGTTCTTCATTCTAGAGTGTAGTCATACTTTGTCACTTTTTTATTTTAATTACAATCTGTCACACTCGTAGGGCATTCAGTAATTGTTTTGACTTTTCTTATTATATGAATCTTGAATGGATGGCAGCCCAGTAGTCGTCCAGTCCAGTTATGACTAGTTATTTATACTCGAAGTATTTGTTGACATTTTTATTATATATGCAACTATACCCACGAGAGGCGATTTTCACTTAAGGCTATATTTGAGATCTATAACCTCAAGTGGAAATTTGACATCAAAGTTGCCTGATGTCAGGCTCGGCGGTAGCGGGAATCGAACCACCGAACCTGGGACTAGTTGGTGCTAGCCCACGTTCTAACCGATATTGCCACCGCTGGCGCATACTTTGTCACTGATTCCGTAAATTTATTTAAAATTGTTACATAATATACATCCGCAACTGTGTCATTTTATACCATTTTGAGTCTGTTTTTTTTCAGTCAGACTATCCGGTTGTATCGTCACCTACCGTAAACTTTTCCTCAATAGTAATAATAAAATTTAAGTGCTATGTGTCAATTTGTTGTTCGAGTGTGTACAATGGACATAAAAGTTTATGACGTTTCCATTTGATCATTTTGCAAACGCTTAGGATGTTAATCGCAGTTTTACGCACCGTATCGCATCTCGCATCCGGCTGCGAATATTCTGCTCTCAGCGGACACGTACGTATTCTTTAATACGTCGCCATGCGTTTAAATTTATAGGGACTATTTAAAGTGGCGAATAAAACGACAGATCGCGTACAGTTGCTCTCCCAGAATGTTCATTGGATCGTAATTTCAATTTAGTGCCTTTCGTTTACTGTTATTTGTTGCTTTTATTGCGTTCACCGTTAGCGTTCAAACAGTTTAAGGAAGTTTTTTAGCTATTTTCATAGCTATTCGATGGAGAGCTGGTAAATGTTTGTAGACTCATATAGAGTAATAATTATTTTAGACATTTTCGTTGATATAACTTTCTTATGGTCAGTAGTAATAACAGACTAATAAGGAAAATATTGTTCATTATTAATTTATTTTTTAAATTTTTAATCGAAGTGGATATAGCTCAAAATGCTTCAAAATAATACCATAATGTCATACGTAATATAGATAAACCCTTTCCTGCATCATTTACTTCGACGAAAATGGGGCTCAAGTGTTAGGCCTTAATGCTTCTTAAGCTGATGATCGAGGGTAAATACTTCAGATATACATACTTTTCTACGACATCGCTGACCAGTACATATTTTAAATTCACAAATCGTTTTATCTATGTTTGGTCTAACAATCTACTCACGATCCTGGCTTGTCATATTCAATTTTGAACAAAAATCTTATCACGAGCCAGACTTGTTAAAGCACGATCAATAATTAATCTCTCTTGTATAGTAGTGAAAAATTATATGAAATTTCAAAGAAAATATGTGATATTAAATTAAGCAATCTTATGAATTTATCTTTATTGCATTACTGATTTATTTTGATTTTTAAACAATAATAATTCTGACATTAAATTTTTCTTAAGCAAAATTCAATACATATCAGCATTTAAATACAAATTATAAATGATTGAATGTTTTATTATTTTTAAATTTTATTTCTAAACTATCACCTATATTTGATGCATAGCGTTATTTAGAAAAGAATTATATTTTTGTAATAAAAACGCTAACATTGCAATTTCTGTATGTATAATTTAATATGTATCACCATTCAAATGCAAATTTTAAATAAATAGATATTTCTAGAACTTTTTTTTTTCAAAGCCAATGGTAGGTTGTTTTATTGCATTATTACTACATGATTACTATTTTTTGTTGATTATCAGCAATATCACTAGTATTACTTGGACAAACACAAAGTTTTATCGAAATTTGGGTAGCTATTTAGGACCAGTTCAATGACATACAAGCCTTCAGAAGAGTTATATATTCATTTATTTATAATATGTGAGCATATATTATATAATTTAATAATCACATAAAAAAATTTGGTTCAAATGTTTTTACCGCAAATTTGCTTATTGAATTATTTTAGAAATACTTTTTAGGGTTTTTATTTATTTAAAAAAAAAATCTGCAATATCTGAGTACGGCAGGATAATTGAGTGTCCAGAGCAGTATAAGTAACAACTTAAAAAAAAATTTTTTAAAGGACAAAATGCCAATTGCTCTCCTAGCCCGTCGACTATCTCTTCTCAATGTTCGATATAAATTCACCGCATTCATAAAAGCGTTTCTCTGTGTTTTTGCATTCTATGTACGTATAAATTTTGACTTGCTGAGTTCCAATTTTATGTTTGTGCTGTTGAAAATATAATAAATTTTATTTCCAATTTATTATTTGAAGTTGAAAATATAAGTCTTGTATTTTATTCGTTAGAAAACCGTTGTGCAAGGTACTCTATTTTCTGTTGACTCTATTTGCAATATGGGGAATGTGATTTTTGTTTCATGCAGCTTATTATGATTACCGAATACATAAGTTTTATAAAGACAATTTTATTTTTTTGTTTATATATATATATATATATATATATATATATAATATAAATATATTTTATAATGCACTGTTTGCTGACGAAATGAAATAATATTACTGTTTTAATATGTACTTTTTGTAATCTTGTGAATGATTTTAACATATGCTTCTATTTTCAGCCATCAAGTTGCTTAAGTGATAAAGAAGAAGATGAAATTTACGGTTTCGGTTATGGAGTATTTGGTGCACAAATGGCGCGACTCCAATCGTCTCACAGGGCTGCCAATGCGGCGGCTATGGCCAATGCGACCAACCCAACTGCGACACCACTTGTTAATGCACAACATCAAAATTACCAAAGGTCAGTACTTACTTTTTTAATAGAAAAAATCATAAGAAAAAGGTGAAGCCAAATTATTCTCATCCTTCGAAATGCTTTCGGAACCGCGTTCAAGTTATCTGCACCAATTCAGTTTTTTTCGTTAATAAAGTATGCATCGTTTCTGAGACTGAATATGCCATAGTTTAATTTTCTCGGAGATTTTAGTAATCTGAGTTTTAGTTCAGTCACACGCGAACAGTGCCGATATATCAAAAAGAAGTTCTGAAGTTTCGTAGAGGAATTTCGTATGTCTATTACTCGGGGCGGGTATATAATAAGGTCTCCGTATAGAGCATCGAATATAGAATATAAAACAGGGGTAGGCATTAGGAGGTCTTCGAATCAATAACGATCACCTTTGTTTTTTTGGAAGTCAAATGTTAACTGAGGAATGTGGATATTTATCAACTTACTATGTAGGAAAAAAGTTGCGTCAAACTGAAATTATGCAAGAAACTATGAAACTAAATTTAAAGTGATGACAGACTTGTTTTTACAAATATCTATCACGTATTTTTTGTAGCGCATATATTTTTTTCAATAAAATAAAATCTATATTAAATCTATCTCAAATTCCATAGAGCAACATGAAAAAATATAGCTAATCATTTTCTTATCCATTTATATTATATGTTTTGCTTGCCAATTTAACATTTTAATTATTTTTCTCAAAACTGTATAATTTCGTAAAATTTCTATGTAACGAATTTATTTTCAACTCAATAGAGTATTAAAAAATAACAAACACATAAAAATTTAATTTAGTAACTTTTTTATAAAATGTCTATGTAAAATTCGGTTTTTAGAAAACGTTCTAAATTATTATACCTGTAAATTAATCTGATTCACTATTTTTAACTATTAATTAATTATTAACTTATTAATTACTTTAATCTTGTACTCCTTCAATCTAATCAGAGATAATCAATTATTCAATTATCTCAAGAAATGATAAATTTATTCTATCATTTAATTTTAGTTCAACAGAATGATGTATAGATCACATTATACCCGTCGCTATCTCACAAATAATGATATTTTGTTTTAAATTAATTTCAAATAGCTTTGTACAATTAGAATTCCCTAGTGAAATAGTGGATAAAGTTACGGGATTTTAATCTTTGGTCCCAGGTTCGATACCTGAGGCAGCATAATGTCAATCAGTAGTTTTCAATTGAATATATAGACAGCAATATGTTTCCTAGTAAAAATAGTCCTTACCCAGCATTGCTTCATCAATAAAATTACAAAAATTGTAATAATAAAAATTATCACATAGAGATAGAACAACTATTTGGGTTGCCATCTATGAAGTTAGTTAAGTCAAATCATCAGATCAGCTTAAAGGGCTTTTAAGTTTTGATCGCTTATAATAATCATCCATAGTGATAACAATAATTCGTGATACCCAATCAATCTTATTTATATTTATATTAAATTTATAAGTATCCATCAAATATGAAGAAATATGGAAGCAGAAGATTGGCTAGAAAAATGAGTAAAAGTGTATAAAAAAGTGATTAATGGTAATAAAACAGTTATGGGATTAATAAAAAAGGGAAGTGAAGGAAATCATTAGTTTCTTGTGCTTTTATACCATAGACCTACCTTCAGGCAAACATCTATTTATTATTTCTTATCGGTTATTCCTAAAATCTTGTATATCCCTGTTACATAGCATACATATTAAACCTTATTCTACATCGCGCTATTAATACAAACTTTAGGAATTACTATCCAGATTCCTCCAGGGTATCATCTCTGTTATGGTTTCCAGATTAACAATTAGGTCAAACGTAAGAGCCGTTACACGCCCATAATGGCTACGAGATGATCTAACAACCCTTGCTCACGGTATTATTCATTTTAAGGACGACATGCATTGCTGTTATATGTTGCAATGCATTAACTATGTATCATGGTTATAGTAATATTTATTGTATCTAATTAATTAGGTAAATACTTAATGGTAATTCAAATTATACTTTGTTAACAAGTGTTAGGAACTAAATAGATCACACATGTCCATAAAATAAAAAAGCGGCATATGTAGTACGTATGTATGCCAATATAGTTTTTACCGCTCAACACTAATCTAAAGTCAAAATTGGGAGTCATATTGCAAAAAATATTTTTTTTTAAAAAAACGGCAAATTATTCGATCTAGTAATTCTTCTGCATGATACTTAAAACCTTAATTTTTCTCTACCTTAAAGTACTATTTTGTTTCGATTAAATCTGAGTTTTAGTTTTGATGTTAGACAACTTTTTTGTGGGCCTGTGCTTTTTAACAATATTTTTGAAGGTATTTTATGGAGAATTAAAATTAAAATTGAAAAAGTTTAGGTTCGATCATTGTCTGAACCATAGTTCATTGGGCTGCTTGATATGTAGTTTTTTGTTATTTTAATAGTATGCAAAATGCGAATTAAGAGGCACAACTAGTGTAACCGCCTAAAAAAAGGAAATTTTTGGGAATTTATATTAAAAAAAACTACTTTATCAATCATTTCAAAATTTTAGGAATATATTTATACATGTTTTAAGAATACATAGTTTTGAAGAAAAAAATTAAATATTTTTTAAGTTATCGTCGATCTTCAACGACGCGAAAAAAAGGCCCTTCACTGCTGCAGTGATTCCGGCCTTCTACGTGGATGAAATTTAAAAAAAAATCTCGTTATACTAGATAATACTGTCTGTAAAATGAACTACGATAAAGAAAAAAAATCAAAAATTGACAAAATGACTGCGTTTTTAAAGTCGAATTTTACCCAAAATTTCGGTCGTTTTTGGACTGCCAAAATTCTATTTTTGATCCGATCAAAAAATCGATAGTTTATTTTACGGAGAACTATATAAAGAACATGTAAAAAAAATGATAGTGATCGGATCATTCGTTTTTGAGTAATCACTGCAGCAAATTCGGAAAATGCTGTTTCGAGAAAAACGCGTTTAAAGATAAAATGATTGTTATACTATATACTATATACTATATATATACTATTTAAATGGCTGTAACTCAAAAACTATTTGAGATATCGATTTGAAATTTTAATATGTTATTTTTCAAGGTGAAATCTACAGAAATATAAAAAAAAACAAAAATAGTTTTTTTCGAAATTTCACACGAGTTGTGCCCCTTAAAATTGAAAATGTTTAGGTTCGATCACTGTCTGAGCCATAGTTCATTGGGCTGCTCGATATGTAGTTTTTTGTTATTTTAATAGTATGCAAAATGCGAATTAATCTCAGACTTTGTCCTGGACAATAAAAGATAGGTCCACTAATTTGCTATCGTTTGCTTAAATTATTGGATTTGCATTTCTATTTATTAGTTTTATAATGATTTTTCATATTCAAGGGTTTACTTGCTTGCGTTGATGATCAGCTTTCATATAATTGATACCTAACTCCAATTTTTGACTTTACCTACTAATTTAGTCCAATATTGTTTATTAATGAGTAGAATTCCGGGAGGAGAATGCGTCTTGAGCGTCTGAATTATTATTTCTAGATAACTAATAATATCAAGAACATGTGCGCACAAAACCAACAACTAGGAACAATTCCTAATCGCACTCGAGCCATTTGCCGACAATACTTTGTGTAATTAATAGCGTGCATTAGAGCTTCCGCTTTTCCTGTTGACTTGTGCAACATGTTGCCCAATATTATCGCAAGGAAATTCGTTACGAGCACCTCCACAATGGATCAGGGAGCGGAAAACTTAGAAATTTGAATAGTTAAGGAAATAAAATGAGACGTTGTCGAGCAGGCTTTAAGTTTTTTGTCATTTTCTGAACTTTTTGTAGGAGAAGTTCATGTTTTTACCAGAAATTCCGATTTGATAATTTTATGTTTTCTCAACGTTCAAAGACATTCTGAAACGTTTAACACCATCTTTAGAAGAAAAAAAAATTGTGTTATATCATTGTATATGTATTTGAGCCAATTTTTGACCTTTCGTCAACGTTTTCTTAACAACTACTGCACCGATTTAGCCAAAAATCTTGTATAGATTTTGAAAATTCAAAAATGTGTGAAAGATATCAGTTGGAAATCGTGCTGATACCTGACATTATACGTAATAATCGCACTGGCCATTTTTTTTGTAATTAATTGTAGAAAAAACTTATTGATTTTAATGAAACTTAAAATTTGCTTCGGAATTTATTACATCGTAATGATTGGACATGTTGAAAAACGATCAAATATTTTAATATAAAAATAACAAAAGACTCAACTTACGAGCCTTTCACGATTTTTTCTACGTTTTTAATCTTGGCTAGTAATAAGGCTTTTTCTTAAAGCTCTTTCAAACTACCACAGCGTAATATGACTCATTTTTTTCTGATATAGTTTTTTCTTCATGTGCTTTTATCTCAATATTTCATCTCATTTCTTCAAAACTAAGACTAATTTTAACATATGTATCACAAAATTTTCCATTATCAAGGTTCACAATCTCTGTTTTGCTTTTCTCTAGTAATTGCTATCTACAAATTGTAATTATTGAGGATAATGAAACTCTGCACCTACGTGCTCGCGGAGGAAAATATCAGAATGTTAATCCTTAAGAAAATAAATTTTCGTTTTAAAATATATTTCCGAGCGGATATCGTTTTCAACATTTCCGCGGATTATTATTAGAGTTTATTATTTCGATTACTAACAGAAGGAGGGCTGTATCCGCTTAGCGAATGCTGTATTGACAATTTATCGAACGATAAAGTTATCTTAATTACAGATTTACAGATATTGCTGGCGGTGCAGATATCATTCTTATTTAATTCGGTCTTGAATATTGAAATATTTGCATTTAAGCAATAATATATATTCGTAGTAATGTAATTTCAGAAAAAGGATGGGGTAAAAAGGGCCAACTGAAGCTTTACCCTGGCAAAGGTGTAAATAATAAATAGTAAATAAAAAAGTAAATTAAGTTTAAGAAATTAAAATTTAATAAATAGTTATTC